AACATTTACAAATGTTCCTAGAAAGCTATAGACAAGACTTTGATGATTAATAATCTAATAATCTGATTAATGATCTTTAATGTTTTATTGTGCCTGTAAGGTGTTCAGTCTTGTGAAAAAATACAAACTAAAAGTAAAGTCTTTATAACCATCTTGTCAACTTTTCCTTATCTTTTATTTCGTTTTCCATTAGACAAAATTATTATCTTTTACAAAAATAACTTGTAAGATAACACGAAAATGTTATTGGGCAAAAAATCACACTGCACCAGAAAGTAAGTTAATCAAGATATTTATATTAAAAAAAGCGTGAAAAAGTATAAACTCAAACATCTTTTGACACTTTAAAGCGTTAATTTGTTTTAATAATAAGAATATTTATCGTGTTTTTTAATCATCTCTACTGGCTTTTAAAGGAACGCTTTTTATCATATTTATCAAAGTGCTCTCTGGTATGTTTTCCCAAGCTTGTGATTCTTTAAGTTCACTGATATTTGGATTTCGAGCTTTTGGAAATCATAGACATCCGTAGCCAAGATTTCCTATAAATTTTCTATGGGATTAAGTTCTGGGCTAAGCGCTAGAAAGACCAAAAGATTGAGCCTATATTCCTCCAACCATTATTGTTGTGTGTATCGGTGCGTTGTCTGGTTGAAAAATTTGATCTTTTCCCAACAATGTAATAAATGACAAAAGATTGTTGATATTTAACAGCATTCATTTTTCCAGTATTAAACGCGATTTGGGACCCTTTTCACCGAAAACAACGCATACCATTACACAATTTGTTTTCCTTACTTAAGTCGTGTCAGTAATAATTGAAACCGTCAGGACAGTCAAGGTTGAGCTAAAAATGTTTGTCAGCTCACTAGAATTGCAGATAAATGTGATACGTTTGGTTTTCTTTCAATTTTTGCGAACCTTGCGTTTATAATCATTCACAAACTCAACTATGGTTAATTTGTAAACATTGAGTTTGATGTCCATCGAGAAAGTTTAAGGCAGGAAAATGAATTAATCTCTTAAGGAATTTTTTTTGCGGGGGTTCACAACAGCAGAGGTTATATCAAACCCTCGGGGTGCCGGTATTTAAAAAAAAAAGCCCATTTGTAAGTATGTCGGGTTCGACTGCAGGGCCGCTGGATTCGAACCCGGGACCTTTACCTTACGCTTTATATATTTTATTTTACAAATGTTGGATGGACAAATTAATTACAGGGTTCACTGTCCGGTGATGCTTTAGAAAAACTTATTTTCTTCCTGTCTGTGAATTTTACTTATGAGCGCCGTGGCAACGCCTAAACCGTTGCGGCCACCGACGCCCCTAAATAATTATTATTAAAAATTAAAAAATAGTTTTGGCTTCAAAATTATCATTAATTTGGAAATGTAATAAAATTAAATGATTGAGTTTTCACAGGTCTGTGCTTTGTTTTTATCCCTTTCGTTGGCTCTCTCTCTCTCTCTCTCTCTCTCTCTCCCTCTCTCTCGATCTCTCTCTTTCATTTCCTGGCACTTCCATCTCTCACTCTCTCTCTCTCTCTCTCTCTCTCTCTCTCTCTCTCTCTCTCTCTCTCTCTCTCTCATTATCACTCCATTTCCTCCTCGTTTTCACTCTCTTCCTCTTTTCTTTCCTCCTTTTTCTCTCCCTACCTCTTCTCTCTCTCTCTCTCTCTCTCTCTCTCTCTCACACACACACACACACTCTCTCTCTCTGGTATTTTTCTTTACTTGTATATCTTTCTCTCTTTCTGTTAGATTTCTCATACTCTCTCTGTTCCTATATCTCTCTAACACTTTTACTTCTACTCACTTTTCCTATGCATCTTTAGATTAGAACTATATTACAATTATTCCACATTCTCTCTCTCTCTCTCTCTCTCTCTCTCTCTCTCTCTCTCTCTCTCTCTCTCTCTCTTTTACTTTCTCTCTCTAAGCCAAAAATTGTGTTAACATTCAATGTCCAATACAAACATATAAAACTGTTTAAACAATAGATAAAATAAGCATAATATATAAACGCCCTGTGTGTATGCCTGGTGGGTGTGATACAAATTTCTTACAATTAAAAAAAAATTGATGCTCATCGAAACGTAGCATAGTTCGAAGTAAAATAGATCGAAGTAAATAAGTAAATAAAAAGTTATTATATAAATGCGTAAGAAACAAATGTCTGAGGCGAAAATCGACGAGGAAAGAATTAACTTCGTTCTCGCAAAACAAGACACAGCTCGGCGCTAACAAGGCCTTGACACAATTAACGTTCGAAGATTGTGAGAGAAAACGAAATATACGAAAAGGCATAAAAGCTTTAAAAATCAATAAAGTTTATTCACAACGCCCTTACTGGACGTTATTGGACAATATAATGAATGTGACGATCAAATTTCCCCTGCCCGGCCGGTGACTCCCCTGGATGATCCGTTTTATAAATAAAAGTGCGTTTGCAGAAGGGATGACTATGAGCCGCTTGAGGTGGTCAAGTTCTAAATTTAAAGCAGGTCAGATACTTGGCAAGTACAGTCAGACGGTCTACGTGTGTCAACAATTTCTCGCAACTCGGATACCATGGCTAGGTAGGATCAAATTTATTCATAATATGTATTATCAACAAGTTTTCATTATCCACGGTTATCTATTTATAAAGAATTTGTATGGAGAAGTTTTACTATACAGACTACTATAAAAAAGGATAACTGAGCACACTAGTGGACATGGATGATTTTAAATATGGGAAAGTAAGAATAACTGAGCACACTAGTGGACATGGATGATTTTAAATATGGAAAAGTATAAATTTATAATGGCATATTAACCACATTACAAGTATTTATATTTTAACAACGACACACCGAAGAGAATATCTCACAAATCACAAAGTAATAAAAAGGGCAATGGCTTCTTGCAAAGTCTCTCGGTTTTATTATCCTCTAATTAAATATTAATAGAGCAAGATACGCATAATTACCTCAGAGGATAATGGCTGAATGTACCACTTCCTTTTACTTTTATGATAACCTTCATGAAGGGCAAACTTGAGAGTCATCCATTAAAAAACAAAACCCTAGTAGTTGAGACATTTCTTTTTATTTTATTTGTTTGTGTAATTTTTATTTGTATCCTGCACATAAATTTGTACACATTACAAATTGTTCTTAGCGGAACAAAGTCCCGGACAAAACACTAATATTACTGCCAGTACTGCACCCAGCGGACAAAGCTATGAGAAACTAGCTTATGCTAGGCACCCGAGTTGGTTGTAGGGTTGAGAGAAGGAGGTCTCGGGTTGCGGCTCCATTCCCATGGGGGATTTCGATCCGTCGGTATTCAATATTCTCGCATCGGGATATGTTCCTGTTTCAAGGCAACAAATGATTGACTCTGGCATTCCTAAGCGTCTCTATGTGACCTCCTCAAATGTAGTGGCATAAGAACGGATTCTACTGTTAGGGCATTAGTGGGGGTGGAAGCCATAGGACCTAGGGAACACCTTGCAGCTTTATGCTGGAGTCTGTCTAATCTAAGATGGGTCTTGCCCGCATTCCCATAGAAGATGCTTCCGTATCAATTCTGGATAACACTAAGAATTTATACATCGATAAACAGATGCACGAATGAGCACCATATTTGATTCTAGACACATATTTGAGGACATTTAGGGCTTGTTCATATTTTTTCTCTACATATTCAATTTGGGGTTTCCTTAATGATTTTCTATCAACAACCACTCCCAAAAATTTGAATGAAGAGCAAGTTTTTATTGTAAAGCTGCCTAGGTCTAACATCTTTGGGATCGCAATTTTGTAGCGGTAGGTATTTTGTCCTCAGATATGGTAAATCCCAGTTCCATGCACCACTTGAAGAATTTTCCGGCTACTGGTTGAATTGCAAACGCCAGGTAAGGTACACACTGTCCACCTGTGAAGATGGTTATATCTTCTGCAAACTGAGATATTCTGATGTTAAGTGTTTGCAATTGTCTAAGGGACGCTGTGTAAATTAAAAATAATATTGGGCTAAGAACCGCCCCCTGAGGTAAACCCGAAAAGGCATGCCTCGGTCCAACTAGGGTATCATTCATTGAGAAGTAAAGTGATCTTAGATGTATAAGACTTAAAATTGTTTATATAAAAATACCCGGTATCTTTAAATTAATTGATCTGAGCAAGACTGTTTAGTGTGAACGTAATTTGGGTACATTTGTCCTAGTTCAGTTTCATCTTCCGCTTTTGCCTCATTTTTCAATAAGCTCAACACGCTCCTGGATATCGAAGGCGGCTTGGATGGATTGGATTTAAGAGATAAAATTGCAATAGTCCGCGTGGGTTGTAAGGATTGGTGTTGGTATAGGAAGGTTAGCACGATAAAGGTTTGCCTTCCTAAAACTGATTGCTGCATCCCATTCTGAAGCAGCAGTCGGTTAGATAGGATTTTAAGATTTGATAAGGAGCAGGTCAGAACTGCTTTAGTTTGAAGAGAACTCACATGTGCCAGAGCCTGCCAAAAGCAGTACTCTCTGTTCTCAAAAAGAGGGGAAATAGAGTCAACAACCCCGAAACATTATTGAGACATAATGTTGAATTAGATTCGTGATTAATTTACAAAATGACCTATTGTCAACGATTTTTGTTTGTTTGTTTTTTTTCTTACGAGGGTTCGCAACAGCAGAGGTCATATAAACCCTCGTGGTGCCGGAGTTTTTGAAAAAAAAACCATTTGTAAGTATGTCGGGTTCGAATGCCGCTGGATTCGAACACGGGACCTTTACCTTACAGTGTTGAGCGCCGTATAACCGTTGCGGCCACCGACGCCCCCATTTTGTTATTACCGATCGATCAGTTTTTTTCCTGATTTTCTAAGAAAGCGTTGCACTATGAAAAGGCTGTTTCCAAGATTTATCTTAGGTCTATCGAGCATAGAAGAAGATAAAACATACAAATCAATTATTTTGATCAGTTTTATAATACTTAGCACTAATTGGTGTTTTTATTTTGTTTCAGAGACCACGAATACGAACCAATCAATCCGAAAGAACCTCCACCTCCTCCTGTCCTCAACGTTAGCGAACTAGAATCAGAGCCTCGTCCTGCAACACCAAGAAAATTGTTCGAGAGAAGGTACATAAAGATACCGAATGAAAATGCCGTCATCATCCCTTTACACGGTGATTCCGATGAGGAAATCAATCCTGATAGGTATGAAAACAAAGAACTGACAGTGCATGAGGTACAACGAAAAGCCGAAGATTATTATCCTGAGGAAAGGGCGGATGTCAGAGAGCGCACACCAGAAATTACAATAACCGTAAGCCAACCCGATTCGCCTGGACCCGAGTCACTTCCATTGGAAAAGACGTCCAGGGGAATGCGGACCAGGCTTAGATCACAAGCCGGCGAATTTAGGGAGAAGCTCCGTAAAATATCAGCTCCAAAGATATCATTACCTGAGCGGCCAAAAATGAAATTTCCTGATCGCCCTAAAATACATTTTCCAGATCGGCCTAAAATTCATTTCCCAGATCGGCCACAGTTTCTGAAAGAAAAGCCAAAATTTCTCTCAGAAAAGCCAAAATTTCTCACCGAAAAACCGAAATTTCTCTCAGAAAAGCCAAAGTTTCTTACAGAAAAGCCGAAATTTTTAACGGAAAAACCGAAGTTTTTGAGCGAGAAGCCTAAGTTTCTGACCGATCGCCCAAAGTTCAATTTTCCAGATAGGCCTAAATTTAAAATGCCCGAAAGATTTTCCTTCGATAGGCATACAAAGAAACCATCTGGTCCAAAGCAAAAAAGGCCAAACCCGAGCAGTTTGAGGAGGCCCTTAAGAGATACTGTAACTGTAACATCTTCAGACTCTTCAAAACATTTATTTCATAATTTTCGCTTTAAAACCTACCCTAGGTTCCTTACTAGGAAGAAAAGGGAGCGTGAAAGAGCCCAACAATTAGCAGGGACCAGTTTAGACACTGAAAGCAGTCCTTCAACACCACCGAACAGGCGTAAGGTTCACAGCGAGAAATGGGTTGAAACATTCAGAGATATAAAGTTCGCTGATGATGAAGCCAGTATGGAGCCTAAATTGGACACCCAAGATGAGGAAGGCTATGAAGAAAATACTGAGCCTTTCCACGATTCTTACATTACAGGAGCGCTCCGTTTAGGCGAGGAGCCGGTGAAAGCGAAAATGGACAGTTCAAGTGATGTTATGGATTCTGACAAAGAACAGCAAAGTTCTGGAAGTGAGTCGATGAGAAGAAGAGCTGGGGTGCTTGAAGAAATTGACTCTGATGAGTTCTTTTTAAGGCAAAAAGGTTTGAGCAGGGAAGATATGGATGTGAGCAGATACCTTTCAAAAGAAATAAGAGATGCTTTTAGATCACCCAAAAATGCATTGGCTCATATGGATTCGACGGATTACGATGACGAAGGACCGCCTGTGAATATGAGATTTGATGAAATACCCAAACCTCCTGAAAGGAAAAAATCGGTCAAGTCCGTTCACTCTGAAAAAGAAATTGTCGACTCTGGCTTCAACACGTTTCCTCTGAGGCCGAACAGAAGGAAGCAGAGTGAGCCGGATTTTGGATCGAAAGAATTTGAAGAGATTAGAAAACCGCCACGAAAATACAGATCAAAATCGGATACTAGGCAGAGGTCTACACCGAGCCTTGCTAGGTCACGAAGCCAGGGGATCGAAGCCCAAAACGGAACTCCCCTTCCTGCTAAAAGGAGGAAAAGTTCCAAAAGCCTGAGCAAAAGTGTTCAGGAAAGTACTGGAGACATGCGTATGGAAGATGTGCATAGAGAGGTAACTCTTTTACAGATTAAAATAAAAAAAATAAAAGGCAAAACCATTTGTTGTGCATAATTTATTTTAAAAAAGTGCTAAAAACTAAACTACATATAAAATTACAGCAGTTAAGATGTTGCAGCTGTATTTTATAAGCACTGAATTGAATTAAAAATGCTTAATGATAGCAAAATAAATAATATTGGTTAATTTTTTAAATTTTTAATTGTTTTATGCACTTAATTAATCGCTTAATTCTAAACTTGTTTCTATTTTTACAAGCATGCATTTAAAAAGTTTGAACTAAAATGTTACTGTAAGTAAAATAATTATTTTTTTTAGATTTGTGTTGTAACATTTATTTTGTTTTTTTACAGATTGATGCACACGAACAGTATAGGGAACCAATTGTACCATTCAGAAAATCAAGATCCAGGGGGACTTCTTTGGCCGATGAGGACAGGACGTCTAGAGGAGCTGATTCAACTGATCTGCCTCATGATGATAGATATTTTCACGATGAACCTGTACAGATAGCCGATGACGGTGTGGTGACGGCTGTACCTGTGGATGTTGTTCCACTGGCATCTGCCCCTACTGAAGACAGTTTTGGATATGCAGTGGTTATGAAAGAAAAAAAAGCTAAGCCAGTTCCTCCCAGACCACCTCCTCCGCCCACGAGGCATAGAAACCAATTTCAGCAATTGCAATCACAGTTGCACACTATTAAAAATCAAGGTGTGAACTTCTTTTTTACCTATCCAAGGAGGGCGATAAAATCTTTACACAAAACTCCGGTGAGACCTACTAGAAACTATAGCACATTAGGGCCTTCAAGACCACCAAGAAGAACTAGAGTATTCAGAGAGCCGGTGTATGTCGATGGCGATGAACCCGGTGATTTAGAGGGGGTTGAAAATAAAGAAGACAAGCACGAGGATGTAAGAGATCTTCAAAGTGGTGAAGTTGTTGAAAGGATTCAAGGAAGGCCGTTACCTCCTCCACCTAGACCGCCAAGAAAAACGAAAGAGGATGAAAATATGCTGCAATGCATTTCTGATCAAACAGACACACTTAAAGAAAACCAAGAAAATGTAACTGACCCTGAAGAACTAACTGTAGAAAGCTACTTAAAATCCAAACAGGAAGACTTTTTACTCAATTCCTTAGGTAAATTTATACCTTTGAGCACATTTGAAGAAAAAGATAAACCCTTGGAAACCATAAATACTAGCCAGCAGACTTCATTTGAAGTTGCTGAAGTATCAGTTTCTATTCAGACAGATCCTCTCCCTGACGGTTTTATTGTAGACGACATCCAAAGTGAATTTGATGGCACTTCACAGAAAAGTGCAACGAGCAAAACTTCAGAACAGAGGCAAACACCTATTTCTCGGCAAACTTTCAGAGAGAGCAGTATAGAAAGGGAATTAATACCACAAATAGAAAGAGTGCTTCCTCTTCAAACTGAAAATTTACCTACGCGGCGAGATTTGAGCAGTGAAATTGAACAGAAAAGTTGTAAATATAGAGAAGAATCAACTCCGTCATTACAAGAAAGGGGCTTTCCTTCTCTTGAGCTGCACAATCTTCCCACATTCCCAGTTTCATTCCCTGATAAACTTCATTTAACTGAGTTAGACGTTGACAAATTAAATGTCCATGAATTGCAGGCGAGTAAACTTCAGGTTTTAGACATTGAATCAACGACTCTCCAAGTCACGGAGTTAAATAGTAAAGGTGGTAATTTAGTAGTTAATGGAATAGAATTGCCACCAGATTTTTTAAAAAATTTAGCCGCTCAATTCCCAGTCCCCCCTGCTCCTCAGCCGCAACCATTGCACACTGAATCACCTCAGCCTGTGCCGCAAATTCGAAGAGTGTTAACTCCACCCCCACCGATAATAGTTCAGCATTCACCGTCATTGTACGAAGTAGCTCAGCCGCAGCCTTCACAAGCTAGCACGACTGACCAATTGCCGAAACCTAAAACGACCAAAAGCAAAGGAAGAAAATCACCGACGAGGGTCATTGACGACTCCGAAGATGAATTGGCATCTGTTATGCCCGAACGAGAAAAAAGGGAAAGGTTAGCAACGCTAAAAAAAGACAAAGAAAGTGAAAAAGAAAAGCCTACTACACCTTCATTACCTCAGATACAAACATCATTATCAGAACCTTCTGCATTGACTCTAATCAGACAACTTTTGTCCATTTGGCTAAGGAACATCTGCGAGGGGACAGGTTCATTTATAGAAGGCATCAACTCGATGTTTCCAGAAGGCGACAAGAGGAGAGACGCTCAAACTGCAGCTGTAATCTTGGTTGTACTTGTCGCCGGTTTAATTTTAGTAGGATTTGGAGTAGATAACTCAGTTCATCATCACCACTGGGATTACTTACCCCCGCGTTAATTTATCAGTTTTATTATTGTAAATAAAGTGAATTTTGTACATACCAACAAAGGTAAATAATTGCATTTCTTGATGTTACCTGCCTTCAAAATTCAATTGTGAAAAATTGTAATTTCAGCAGTATCTAAAGGTGGATTAAATGTTGATTATTGTTGATTGTAATTGTTTTGTAAATAAATTATTATGTTCAATGGGTTGCCTTTAAATTTAAAAATATTAATTTTACGCTTAATATATATTCTTATAAAAACTGGATTTTATTGTTCTTTCTCCAGTATACAGAAGCTTCTTCGGACAGATAAATCTAGAAATGTTGAAGGATCTTCCCTTATATTGCCTTGAATCTTGACTTGCTCTTTTTTAGATAAATACTCTGAACTGGAGTGTCTCGGTTAAATGGTGGTGGTTGTCTGGGTCCACAGTAGTAATAGGGTAACGGAAAGGCAAACAAGCCAACCAAGGCCATAATGCGCCAGCTTCCAGCCCTCTTATGCTAAAAATGCCAAAAATACAACTAAACAAAAATAGCAGCATTAATCCGGCTTGGCAGAGAAGCTCCTATCTATCAAAAATATAGATGATAGATGACGGAGTATATGTATTGTAGAAGAAAGACCATACCCATTTAATGATAGGCCTGGACTGGAGATGACACTTTTGAAATCCAATGTACAGAAATGTTAGCTTGATGTTTCCCACATAATTAAAGCATGTCATTTCTTGGCTCTTGTACAACCAGAACTTTCTACTCGGACACACTGTTAATTACGAATTCATATATGATGGATCCATCACAGAGTTAAAAATATCCTTTAGAAGCCCAGCCAAGGAAACAACCATAGTTCAACCTTCAACTGTGATATTAGATATATTACACACCCACAAGAAAAGTGACAAAACTCAAAAAAAAAAAAATTCTACAGAAGAGACAGATGGAAGTTTACTTTTTTTACTTATGTATTAAGTACAATACAACGCAATAAGTTGTTGGCAATAAAACCTGTTATGATTCATCAATATTGGCTTTTGTTTGTCCAAGATTTAAAGCAAAAACATAAAACTTCAAAAATCCAGTTGTACCCAAAATACAACCCCTTTTTGAGTTTTCATACTTTTCTTGTATATATTGACTCTCAGTAATTTAAGTTAGTTTGTTTCCTCTAACAATAATGGTAATCAATACTATTAATTTCTTTGTGAAAGTAACAGACAACATACAAGCCTAACAAACTTGCATTTAGTAAGTTATACTAAGATTATTTTTGATCCAAACTAATGTGCTTTCCTCCTGGATTTAGAGCTAATCAGGTATTTAAAATACAGAATTAATTGTAAATAAAAGTTTCATTGATTATTTAACATAGTGTAATTAAAAGATTCAAAAAATCGTTGAAACTACAAAATAATTTTAAATGTGTGGTGTTTAGTGACCGTTAGTTAATGACTTTTTGGAGATCGAAAGATGCAGGCAGGTGTGATGTAGGTTCCAGAAAAACATTTTCTTTATCGTGCCAACGTTTCGATCTTTATTGAGATCATCTTCAGAGCTCAAAGTGTTTGTTTTATGTGTAGGTGTGTCATTCTTGTGTGTCATATTGAGAGTGCTCCACATTTTGCCTTTAAGCAAGGAATTAGGCTCGTAGGACACGAGGTTTTTGAGAAAAACGCAAAAAACAAACAAAAATCAAAAAAAATTTATTGACTTTTTCGATGTAAATCGACCTGCTGAGTCGATTGGAAAAGGAATTAGGCTCGTAGGACATGTAGTTTTCTAGAAAAATGCAAAAAAAAAAAAAAAAAAAACGAAAAAAATTTTATTGACTTTTTCGATGTAAATCGACCTGCTGAGTCGATTGGAAAAGGAATTAGGCTCGTAGGACACTTAATTTTCGAGAAAAACGCAAAAAAATCGGAAAAATTTTTATTGACTTTTTCGATGTAAATCGACCTGGTGAGTCCATTGGAAAAGGAATTAGGCTCGAAGGACACGTAGTTTTCGAGAAAAACGCAAAAAAAATGGACAACAATTTTATTGACTTTTTCGATATAAATCGACCTGCTGAGTCGATTGGAAAAGGAATTAAGGCTGGTAGAACACGTAGTTTTCGAGAAGAACGCAAAAAACCAAAAAAAAATAGAAAAATTTTTTATTGAATTTTTCGATGTAAATCGACCTGCTGAGTCGATTGGAAAAGGAATTAGGCTCGTAGGACATGTAGTTTTCGAGAAAAACGAAAAAAAAATAGAAAAAAAATTTATTGACTTTTCTATGTAAATCGACCTGCTGAGTCAATTGGAAAAGGAATTAGGCTAATAGGACACGTAGTTTTCGAGAAAAACTCAAAAAACTCAAAAACGTTAAGTACGGAACCTATTTTGAAGATACCGGACTTTGGACCGGAAACAGAGTAGTGTGTGTTTGTAGACGCACCTGATGTTGCCATATCCGGAATTTTTTTTCCAAAGGAAAATGGTCATAATTATCCTGTTTATTTTCTTTCTAAAACATATAACAAGCAACAACTTAACTACTCAATAATTGAAAAAGAATGTCAGCATAGATTATAGTGTAGAATACTTTTCCAGTTAACTAACCCACAAAAACTTTCAACTTTATACCGATAATAAGAGTCCTAAATGGCTTTTCAATAGATCTGGGGAAGTTAAAAGAAAATGCACGAGATGGATTAGTCTTTCGAAAGGATATAATTTCGATATAATTCATATTAAAGGTGATAAAAACACATAAATACATAAAAAGTAATAGCGGACCTTTTCACACTAGCATCTATTCAAGGAAAAATTATGCCCGAAAATTTTGAAAAACAACTACAGGAACAGATAGATAGGCTATGGTTTAACAAATGTAATTGGATTTCCGGAACTATTCGTAAGTTTAATAGAATGGCAGCATAAAGATGAATTTTCCTCAAATATTATAAATCAAATTGAAAAGGCGAACCAGTTCCAAACTATAAAATTAACGGGAGGAATGGACTTTTGTATTTCAAAACCCGCACCATGTCTCAACCCAAAAATCTACTGTCTCTTTAAGAAAAGTGATATTTGATTATGAACATAATAGCATATTCGGAGGACCCTTAGGAATTACGAAGACCTTACAGAAAATTAGTAAGCATTTCACCTACCCTTATTTTAAAAAGGACATTATTGAACGGTGTAAACGATGTAAATTATGCGCAGAATATAAAACAAGTAATTTTACAAAATACGGATTTATGCAGTCCCAAATAGAAACTCATCCCATGGAGAAAATATATATAGACTTTTACAAATTAACATAACCATAAGAGGAAATTCTTATTTGTTCGTGGTAATTGATAGTTTTTCCAAATTTGTTTGGGCCATCCAGACCACAGATCAAAAAACAGAAACCGTTTTGAAAGTTTTACTGGAATTATTTTCGCCCAGCTTGGAACCCCTCGATTTATTATATCAGATAATGCAGCTATTTTTCGTTCCCCCCACTACCGAAACTTTTTGTAGGTAAGACCTACTTGGAGGGAAGGATGGTCAATATGTGTGGTAGCACTCTTAGAATTAATGACAAAGGAGGCTGTCCACAGGGAGGCAGCTTGTCACCTCTTTTATTGTTAATTACAGTAAACAGTTTAATACAACTTCTGAATAATTCAGGTTTCTACAGTCAATTATTTTCAGATGATGGTACCATAATGCTCACAGAAAGGGATCCCCTGACTCTGTCACTGCTGGTGGTAAATGCCATGGGATTGCTTTATGAGTGGTGTTGTGATAAAGGTTTATCAATTAATGCATCTAAACTGGTATTGATAATGTTTAGTAGGAGAAGAACATTAGGAATTTTAAAAACCCTAAATTTCAGGGCAGAGAATTAAAGTTAGTGGATTCAATCAAATTCCTTGGTGTGACACTTGATAGGAAACTTGATTGGAAAGGTCATATTAATAACGTATACAGGAAAGGCACAATATCAATGGTACAATGTAGGAGAATTGTCGGTAAAACATGGGGCCTCATACCATGGGTAGCCAAATGGCTATATACTGCAATTATTCTACCTACATTATTGTTCGCAGCTTTAGTATGGTGGAAAGCTCTAGAAAATAAAGGGAATAGTAACAAATTAAGGTCATTTCAAAGACAAGGCTGTTTGATGATGCAGGAGCATTTTCAACTACACCCACCCTAGCACTTGAAATCATAACCAATACCACACCTCTACACATTGAGGTTAAGGTCAAAGCACTAATAAGCTGCCACAGATTAATTACCGAAGGAGCTGGAATTATAAGTGCAATAACATAGTCATACCAGTGGTAAAAAAAATCAGTGATGTCACTCGTCAACCCCCATCGAAAAAATCAGTGACGTCAGTCGACAAACACAATTGAAAAGTGATGTCACTCCTAGGCCCCATCCGATCCGACGACTAGTGGTGGGGGGTCAGGAAGGAGGAAAAGAGGTGGTAAAAACTGTCTCGCCAGACGCCATGACAGGGATGGTGGAGGGGGTAAAACCTTTCCCCCAAGTATCACCTATACTACTTATTTGATTATTTCTAGTACATCTCGGATACCGATCTTTCCAGAAATTGTACCCCAAAAACTTTCTAAAACTATGAAACATCTGAAGTAATTAAATTTTTTTGAAAAAGTAGGTGTTTCTAGTGGTTTTTAAATTTCCTACTACTCGTGAATGAGTTAGTTGCGAGTTTGAATACCGATGTATTCTACTATTCTACTAGATCTGAGATACCACTCACTCCAGCAATTGTACCCCAGATTTAAAAAACTTTTTAAAACTAGTGAAACATTTAAAATACGAAAAAAATTCTAAAATGTAAGTGTATTAACTAGTTTTTAAATTTTAACCTACCAGCGGAAGTGTTAGTTCTGAGTTTGGGTACTGATGTCTTCGACTATTTCTACCAGATCTCGGATATTGATGGCTCCTGGATTTGTACCCAAAAAATAAAAATAAAAATTTCTTGAAATTTGTATGAATTAAAGTTTAATAAACAAAAAATAAAAATTATCTAGTTGGGAAAAAACATTTTTGCAACTTCTAATCATTCTAAGATGGTTCTGTAGATAGGAGATAATGCTTTTGGAACACTACCTGTATTAAAATTTGCATTTCATTGTTATAGGCAGATAGTATTAAACCCAGAGCATAATATTATCGGATGTGCCAATAATAAAATATTAATTCTAACATGCTCACTAACCTGACTGCCAGCAGAGAGAGTTGATTTACCATTTGTAAATCCCTCCTGGAAAAAGAAAAAATTAAGTTTAAATGAGAGAATAGTATACAACTTACATAAATAGTTGTTATATAAATGAAATTTACCCTCTGAAGGCAACAATCCTCGCTTTAAAACAGCTACGATGAACCAGCTAACTACACACACTGATCAACACTCGCGAAACAACTTAACGCACTGTTTAAATAGCACTTTGTGAAAATGTAAAACAATGTGGTGAAAATGGAAAAACACCCTTGAAAAAACAAAACTGAAATGTATAAAGCATACAATAAATTAAATGTAATTTACACAAAACTTATTTACAAGATCATACAAAAAATTGTATTAATTGTAACAGTGACCTAAAGTGACCTACAAATTTCGATAGAGAGAGGTGTCAATATGAAAATATCTAGTTGGGAAAACCCGAACTTTTGTAAGTTCTAACCCTTCTAAGCAGATGCTGTAATAGATAATATGTTTTACTTTTTGAAACACTACATGTATTAAAATTTGCAGATAGTACAGATAGTATTAAACCGAGAGGATTATATTGGCTGCTGGGGCAATAATAAAATATTAATTCTAACATGCTCACTAACCTGACTGCCAGCAGAGAGAGTTGATTTACCATTTGTAAATACCTCCTGGAAAAAGAAAAAATTAAGTTTTAATGAGAGAATAGTAGACAACTTACATAAATAGATGTTATACAAATGAAATTTACCCTCTGAAGGCAACAATCCTCGCTTTAAAACAGCTACGATGAGCCAGCTAACTACACACACTGAACAACACTCGCGAAACAACTTAACGCACTGTTTAAATAGCACTTTGTGAAAATGTAGGAAAAAGATACAGAAACAGCACAACACCATCTAGAAAAGAAAAACACAAAAAATGTATAAAACTTATAATAAATGTAATATAATGTACAATGACAATCAGATTACAGAAAAATTGTATTAAATAATAACTATAACATATAAAAAGGGCAGAATATGATTTCTTGAGCTAATACTAAATAGAATCTTAGAATAATTTTACAAAATCTTATGTAAGTATTGTTTGAACTTTCAACAGGAATGAACTTTTTATCAACCAATAAAATGTACATTTATAACAGCATTGATACAAATGCAAAGGCTACAAAACACAATATAGTACATGTGGTTATTATTATAAAAAGAACTTATTTCAAATTAAATAAAATAACTTTGACTTAATATTGTCAAATTCTTTTGTTGTGGGTGCAAAAGTCAGTTTAAACAGCTCCAATTATCATTGTTTTTGTTAATAATCAGTGAAATAAATTGTTCAAATTCAAAAGATTGATAGACAGAAGTATTAGTTGGGGTGTATGTTATACGTATAGCAAAGTGATTGAAATATACAGCTCCAATTATAATTGTTTTTGTTAATAATCATTGAAATAATTGTAAATATTGTATATATTAAAATAATCTATCATGTAATAAATTCTGTCCCACCTTTTTCAACATGTTTCAAACATCTTCAATAAACAACTAGGGCTCTGATTCTTTTGTGATTTGTCGATATCTATGCAGTGTTTATAAACCAACAGTCTGTAATCATTTCTTTTCATTTATTCTTTTCATGCCTGACATAGCAGAGAATCTGTCAACACTGTTTGACCTATTCTTAGAAACGTGAGTATGATAACTCTTCACCTATTCAGATCATCCTAGGGACCCTCCCCTGCTAATCGATGCTCTATTTCAATTTAATCATCTTTTAACACATTTTCAAAATCTGGGGACTGGATTGTAAAGCCAATTCTGAAAATTAGGATCCTGTTTTTCTTCCATTAATTCTCAATTTTACTCTGTATTTTGTGATTTCTAAATTTTTATGCCATACATATGAAAATAGAGTACAGGCTGTCCACCTCAGATGGCCTACTCTTAGTCAAGTGGGAATATTCACTCTTCGCCTATTAAAAAATGAAATTAGTGTCGTAATTCAGTCATAATTGACTGATGACCTATGACTTTCGGCTCAATTCACCACTGCTCAACCACTTGAGCTAATGTGACTTCGTGAGTCAATAGCTCAAGTGCTTTTAGGTAGCAGCGTATTGAGCCAAAGGACATGAGTACAAACCCTGCTTGTATCACTAATTTTTTCAACTCTACTTAGATAAAAGGTATAATTTATAAAATAATTATGTGTTGCAAAAATGTTCAAAAACTATATAAAACTCAAGAAATATGTAAAAAGTTTGAAAAAGTAAGTGTTTGAACCAGTTTTTAGATTTTCACCTACCTGGGGAAGTGTTACTTAAGAGTTGGAGTATTAATCTATTCGACTATTGCTACTAGGTCTCAAATACTCCTCTTAGGTATCTTATTCATTCTGCAGATGGCTGCCATAGAAATAACACAATTTTTTGAGAACATCTCTGCCACAACTAGAAAGGAAACAAAATGATCTCTTTTGAATTAGCTAGTTGTTTAAACAATGTCAATCAAAATCGCATTGGACAACTGATAGAACTGAAAGTAGGATTCATGTACGAAATTCAACCATTCGATCAGATTCCTACAAAATATGGAACTGTGGTAATTGTTATATAATACCGTTATATCGTACCTACTCTAGTGATCGATGAAATACCATCAGTAGTATTTCTACCAGATTTTTTTTGGCTTTGTCGGCCAAGCATTTACACGCCAACCTTGAAATGTGACGTTGGATGCACGATTGTAAAAATTCCAAGATTATTGCAATTTTTACTTCTCTTACAATTTAATTGATTTATAAACTTTTACATGTGCAGTTTGAATAATTCAATTTAGAATAATTAATTGATGACTAAAAGGACTCTTGATCTTCTTATTAAGTTATCTTAAATATAAATGAGGTCTGAATACTCATTCGTTTGATGTGGATAGAATGTTATCCTGCTTCTTAAATAATATTACAACAATAAAATCTGATGATTATTTAGAGATAGTGAGATGCGGTCTGGTGTGATGTAGGTTTAGAAACATTTTCAGTGTTCAATCCTTTGTAAAAAAAATAGTTCTTCCTACTCACAGTAAGTAAAAAACATTTTCTGCAGGCGCATCTTACGATTTCTAAATGATCATTAATTAAGGTCACTAAATACCACACAAATAAAATCTAATAAATTTCTTTTTATAAATAAAGAGAAAAGACAATTATTGACGGTTTAAATGAAATTTTAACATCTTAACCGTTTGAGCCGACTCGAAGAGCCATTAGCTGAAAAGCTTTTGATCCATAATCCAAAATAAATCAATATCCGTATTATATAATAATTGAAAACTGGTCAGTTGACTATTTGCAATGGAATTCATTTTAAAAAAAGAAAGACGTAGACTTTTTAAAATAATAAATGTCAAAAATGATAAATACCTTTTTCGAGGATGAAAGCGTGATGTCGAACCGGTGGCCGCCACGAGAGAAAGAGGGCGAATGGCGGGAATATTACTTCCCAGTCCCCTCACCAACTGATAATTAATCTTACAATTTTCTCACAAATTAATTTAAAATTGAAAAATGTTTTAAAAGAATATCAACCGAATGAATATCGTAACTATAATTTTTTTAAATAAGCCCGATTTTTAAAATTTTAATCATACTTTAGTACTTTTAGAAGATACTTTTTCAAGCTGGCAGTGATCTGATAGGCCGATGATTCTCTGTTTAGAATTTGAATAATGATTTGAGTTTAAAAGTAAATAATTAATTCTTAAATATTCCGTAAGTTTTTGTGCTATTATTATTAGAAAGTATTTTGAATAATGTAATATTTTTTATTTACTTGGAAGTGTCCTTGAATCACCGGCCTTTTCCCGCCATTTCCATGAGCGATTCAGGCTACAACTAACGGTCGAGACGGCTTTTTCAAGGTGAGCTTTTATTTCGGAATATTATAATTATTTTCATTAATAAAAGCTACTTTTACGTTGAAATCAAAGAAAAATCGTTAATGAAATAATTTATCAATCATCGCCAGTTTTAAATATTGATTTGTTGGATGTTTTATTGCAACACAGTAAGTTAGTTCAACCTCTATGGATCGCCTGGTGACTTCGATAAAATTTCATTTTCGATTATCGACAAACCAATATTTTTTCAAGAGGAGCAAGTCGGTTTTATGATTATCAATAAATAATGAAATTATTTCAATTAATTATACTTTTTATAGACCAATGGTCATTCGTTCGACTCTCGCTCGCAACACTAAAATTAATTTAGCGGTTTATCTAAGGCCTTGGTGAGATGGAAAAGTTAGTGATACAAGTGGGTTTTGAACCCTCATCCTTCGGCTCAATATGCCGCTGCCTTAACCTCTTGAGCTATTGGCTCAAGAAGTCATGATATATCAAGTGGTTAGAGAAGTGGCATATTGACCGGATGGTTATTGGTTCGAATCCTGCTCACACACTAAAAGAGTATAATTATTTCAGTTGTTACGCGTTTTATCTAAGGCCTTGGTTGAGATGAAAAAGTTAGTGTCGCGAGCAAGTTGGGTTAGAACACAACCTTCAGCTTAATACAGTGCTGCTCTAACCACTTGAAATATCGACTCACGAAGTCACAATAGCTCAAGTGGTTAGAGCAGTGGTGTACTGAGCTGAAGGTTATTGGTCATAATGGTCAATTTTGACTGCTAAATATATATGGATTAAAAAATAAAATTAGTGTTTATGGCAATTCTAATTTATTGATTGATTTATTAATACTGGGTTTACTCACCAGTTAAGGCAGTGACATTTTCAAATAAATTGCGCATCACATGCTGTTGCACAATAATTTGCCAATGAATGGCAGTGATTGATGCATTGCACAAAGGATTGACTAGTTTCAAAAATGTTTGAAATCTTTTGTACAGTTTGGGTCCTGTAAGTGCATGTTGCACATTATTTTCCATTATTGGCTGGTATTCTTAATGGAATCTCTTAACTGTGTGTCTTGTTTATACATAGGTGGAAATACCATTTACCAAAGTTCTACGCAAGTATTAGAATCCATCCTCGAATAATTTTTGTAATCAAGCAGGATGATAACTGTTGTTCTTGAATTAGACTATCATGGCTAAGGGTTGCCGTTTTCTGTTGCCATTCTGCTATCCAAATTATGAGTTTTCTTTTTCGTTTTCTTGTAACCTTGACATCATCTTAATAATTGAGGCAATAGCTATTGGGGACATGGTGGTCATACAATTCCCAGTTTACAATTAAAGTTTCAACAAAAATTTAATGAATTATAGGGGTGATGCAATGCAACATTGCATGTCACTTTGTTGAGCATTTGACAATGTAAGGGCACCTTCAGATACTTACGATTACAATATGTAGATACATAAGATTAGTATCTGTGATCTAGTAGCAATAGTCGAATACATCGAGACACAACTCGCAATTAACAACTCCACCAGTTCGGGGAAATCTAAAAACTGTTTAAAACACCGACTTATTATATACCGACAAGTTAAGTATTTAGGTTGGTTCACGTGTTTTAAAAAGTTTTTTACATTTTGGGTACAATTTCTGGAGTACATAAGATCGGTATCTGAGTCCTAATAGCAATAGTCGAATACATTATTACTTCAACTCGTAACTATCACTTCCCCAGGTAGGTGAACATCTAAAAACTGGTAAAAACACATATACTTTTTTGAAGTTTTTACATATTTTACATATTTCTTGACTTTTGTATAGTTTTTGTACATTTTTGCAACACATAATTATTTTATAAATTATACCTTTTACCTAAGATTTTGTTAGAGATGAAAAAGTTAGTGATATGAGCGGGATTTCAAGTCTCTAACCACTTGAGCTCTCGTGACTTCGTGAGTCAATAGGTCAAGTGGTTAGGAGGTAGCGGTGTTTTGAGCCGAAAGTCATGGATCATAACAGTCAATTATGACTGCTAAACAAATATGGATTAAAAAATAAAATTAGTATTTATGGCTGTTCTAATTTATTGATTTATTAATACTGTGTTTATACACTGGCTAAGGCAGGGCCATCCCAATTTTCAGAACTGACCATCACAATCTGGCCCTACATCGATGTGATAAAAACATTATTAAATTGAAATTGGTGGGCTAGAATGGCACAGAAGCACAAATGTAGATGTAGATGTAGATGTAATATTTCAGGGTATGGTATACTGCGCCCTTTAAGAGCTATTGTATCCCCTGTGCTCTGCCTAAAGCACATCGGTGAGTCCTATTTCATCAAGAAACTTGATTAATAGGCCCGGTTTCAGTGGTTGTAGTTCTTCTATGGTCACATTGTACATCCCAAAACACTTCCTCCTGCGGGCTAGTGTAGCTCCGCAGTTTGTTAGTAAGTGTGTTGGTGTCTCTTCTGCTTCTTTGCAGAATCTACATGTGCCATCTTGGATTATTCCAATTTTCTTTA